ATATGGAGGATGGAGGTGGTGGAGGAGGGGACGAGGAGAGGAGGAAGAGGAGGAGGAGGAGGAGGAGGAAGAGGAGGACGAGGAGGAGGAGGAGGAGGAGGAGGAGGAGTCGGAGGAAAAGGACAAGGAAGAGGAATAGTAACAAAACGAAGAAAACAAACACTACTAATAATACGAATAATAATAAGACGAGTACCAATACTACTACTACTACCAATACTAAGAACACTCATAATAATAAGAATATTGATTATACTACTAACAAGTATTATTGATACTACTAGTACTAAGATATTATTGTTAATAGTAGTAATAAGAAGAATAGTATTAATAATAATAGTACGAATAATAAACGTAAGAATAATACTTATAATAAGACTAAGAAGAAGACACATACTAATAATACTAATGATAATACGAACAATAATAATAATACGAATGTTAATACCAAGAATAACAACAATGCGAATCATGATACCAGTAATAACGATATTGATAGTAATAAGAATAATAATACCAAGAATAAAACTAATAATGACAACACTAATACTAATACTAACAATAGTAATACTAGTACTACTACTAATACTACTAATAATAATACTACTAAGAAGAATAAACATACTAATAATACTAATCATAATAATACTATGATTAATAGTCATAAAAAGAATACTCATAACAATAAGAATACGCAGACGAATACGAATCATATTGTTACGACTAATAAGAATAATAGTCATACTAATATCAATGATACTAGGATTACTAATCATAATAATAATAATAAGAATACTAATAATACTAAGAGGAGGAGTAGGAGGAGGAGGAAGGAGGAGGAGGAGGAGGAGGAGGAGGAGGAGGAGGAGGAGGAGGAGGAGGACGAGGAGGAGGATGAGGAGGAGGAGGTGGTGGCGAGGCTGCTGTTTCTATGGTTGGGTTGGCTCGTAAGCAGAGAAGGAGAAAAAGGTAACGCGAGGGGTGGGAACCAGCGGCGGCGGCGGCGGCAGCTCCAGGGTGGGGGCGAAACCGGCGGCTCTGCGCCGTGCTGCCACGGGGTGTGTTGTGCCACGACAGCCGAAGGGAGTCGTTTGGCTTCAATTCTTCTCCACATGTGTGGCCGCCAGGGCTGAGCCTTAGAACGACTCGAAGCAACATTTTCAATAGCAATCTCAATTCCGCAGCCCTTTCTGCTGTGCTGGCTTCCGCCTCATGGTTCTGGTTGTGAGCGATCGGTCTTTCGTTTTACGTGACTCTTTGTCTTTCTGTCGTCAGGCCACGCTCGCCGTCATCGAAGCCACCGTCCCTGCCGCCGACCTGGCGGCCCTGGCGGACTACGGATGCGCGGTATGCGAACTCTACGTCGACGTACTCGGCTCCAATATCGGCCTCACCGCGGACCCTGCAAGGCAGGCGGGCGAGGTCGTCTGGATAGGCGGGAGGTACTCCTTCACACACCTGCACCTGGACGCGCCTGCCCCACCCGGGCCCCGCCCTGGCGTGACGCTACGGCTTCCCTGGATAGACGAGCGCGATACTCGGTGGGTGAAGGAGCAGAGCAAGGCCGACTTCTACTGCCAGGGGTGCCTCCCCGGTCCGTTCAAGCACGACAAAGGGGCGTGCGTCAGCAAGCGGGTCCGCCTGGTCGTCACGGTCAACAGGCAGACGGAGTACTACCAAGGGATGGACCTCACCTGGCTGTGAATTTGCTGCTGGACCACGAAGGCCATGCAGGAACGACGACCCATCCTGGACGACGTGGACTTCAAGGATTGGATCAACGACCGCCCTGACGACATGCCGGTGCGCGCCACGCGTGCCCTGCCTGGGCGCTGCCCAACGCCGACACCCACGTGCGACACGCCCCTTGAGCAGCTCCTGGTCCCACTGGACGGCGACGTGAACCCGCTCGACGTAGGTGCCATGCTACAAGCCAGCAGCACGATGGACGACCGCCTCATCTCCATGTTCCACACGAGCAACATCGGCATTTGGCGGTGCGACGGCTGGCCGCCCGGTGCAGAAGGCCACAGGTGGCAGCCTGGACAGCCCATCCCCGGCATGTACGGCCACGCTGCAGACCCTGAAGGCCTCCGCGGTGGCCTATCCCTGGTGCATGGGCTTCCACCAGTCCAGCTCATGAAGGAGATGTTCCTGTCCAGGCGCTGGCGCACAGGCTGGTACTGCGAGGACTGCCTGATCCACCAGTGGGACATGGCCCCGTCTGCCGTGCGACGCGTGCTCCATAAGTACGGCCCTGCGCTATACCCTGGTCCCGGGGCCTAGCCCTTCGCCGCGCTGCCTGGGATCCCTGCCGCCCCTGCGGGGGCCGCGCTGCGCCCCAGCCAGCAAGATGTGCAGCGACGAGCTGCCGCGTGGGATCAGGAGGCGCGCGCCAACCAGGAGCGCCGTCGGGGGGCGCCGCCGCCCCAGCCGACCGACGAGCGACTCCATCGCTCCTGGGCGCGAGGGATGGCGGCCAGGGCGACGCACGCACGGGTCGTGGCGCAGATGAGAGGCCAGGACACCGGGGGCGCAGGCAGCGGCGAGGCCAAGCCTGCAGACGCGGCTGCCAGCGCGGCAGCCCAGCAAGCCCCGCAGCCTGCGGCTGGCAGCGGGTCCCAGCAGGACGGCGGCCCCGTGCCAGACGGGCGCAGCGCCCGTTCTCTTGACCCCGCTTGCAGCCTAAGGCCCAGCAAGGACCGGCGCCTGACGCCCGCCGATCAGTCCAACAGCCCCCGTATGGCCCTCCGCCAGCGGGCTCCCCAGATACCTGTATGGGCTCGGCCCAGCGCGCCCGCTCGGCCCGCCAACCGCGGGGGCGACCTCGGGCCAGACGACGTGCGCGCGCACGTGTGGTACCTGCGGCACCTGGGCCTCGAGGTGGATCAGCACTACAGGTGCCTGGTTGACCCCGTCCTGGGCGACGACGGCGAGCGCGCCGCGGTATGCAGCCCGCAGCTGCTCTCCGACAACTACTTGCGAAAGGTCCTGCGCGCGATCTGGCCCCAGGGCGTCATCCCCGACGACGCCCTGCCTGACTGGCCACGCTGGACATTCTGCGCGGAGCAGTACTTCGTGGGGCACGTGGTGGCGTGGCTGGTCGCGCGCGGCGGCGTGATGGGCAGCTGGGGGCAGTGCTGCGCCGACCACGCCCTCGCTCAGCGCTACCCGCCCCTGGCGCACCGACAGCAGCTGCTAGCCTACGTCGTGCAGCTGGGCCAGCAGGCGGCGGAGGCCTGCCTGTGCTTGGCACGGGATTCGGTGGCCCCCGGCCTGCGCCCAGTCCCCAGTCCCCAGCCGGCTCCGCGAGCCTGTTGCGAAGCCGGCCGCTGCCGACCCTGCATGGAGACGCCAGGGCCCGCGTCCAGAGCCTGGAGCCCCCGGCCGTGGGCCCGCCGAATACGGCCCCGAGCTGACGGACCACCCCATCGCGGGGCTTGCTTCCGGACGCGACGCGGTCGCCCCGGATTGCGTGCAGCGCGAAGTCATGAGGCACTACATCACCCTGGCCGCTCAGCGCCGCCGGCAGAGGACCAACTGGGCCGTGCAGAGGGCCTCCGAGACGGGGCGCCCCCGGGCGCGGAGCCTGGGCCCGAGCGGCTGGGACGCCGAGGCCTGCGGCGAGTTCCCGAGCCTGGTGTGCGGAGAGTCGACGTCCCTGACACCTTTTCTTCCCGCAAGGACAATGGGGCGACGACCGCGCCGCCCTCGTGCGCCTGGTGAGCTTCCTGACGACGGGTGCAGTCAACGGCGGTGGCGATCTTGGCGCGCGCTGGGAGCAGCGCATCCGTGCCAACCGCGTGAGTTTCGGCCCCTCGCCCCTGGCCTACCCGCGACCGGTGCTGGAGGCATTCGTTGCGGCCGCCGGCGTCAGAGCCGCGGGCAGGGGGCTGCTCGCCTACTGCCAGCCCAGGACCCTGCCCGCGCAGCCTCTCTGCGCCACGCGCGCTCCTGAACGGCGCGAGGGCCCTGCAGCCGCCGCGCGGACGGCGGCGGAAACGCCACCGCCTACGCCGAGTGACAGCGAGCTGGCCTCGCACCCACCCAGGACGCGCCCCGCGGCGACCAAGTCCCGGGGGCCCCGCCAGCTGCGGTCGCAACCCCTGGGTCCTCCCTGGAGCGCGCGCAGCGCGACCGCGATCGACGGCAAGGACGAGTCCCCGGACACGCTCCTCCGGGCCCCCACCCGCCAGGTCATGACCGACAACCCGGACATCGAGAACGGCGACTACGTGGTCATCTGGAACGACATCGCCGACGCCCGGGCCAGGTGGTTAGCAGCAGCACAGAGCGCCGATCCCCTGTTCCCGCGGCCCTTGGACGGAGCGGTACTCGGCCCGATCCGCGACGCCCTGTTCCGCGCGGAGGGCGCGCGCCGTTTCCTGGTCGTCCATATAGGCGACGAGTGGCTTGAGATCTGGTGTGCTGGGGCCAAGACGCTACGCGCCGACATCTCTCGCGGCTGTGCGGCGGGCCGTTCGGCCGACTTCCCGTAGGGGGCCCCCGACGCGGCGCAAGCGCCGCAGCTGGCAGCGGCCCCGGCCAGCTCCTGGCTCGGCGCCGACCCTGAAACAGTCGAAGCGGCGCTGGCGGAAGGGGCTCAGCCCAAGTCCAGGCCCCAATCCCGCGCTCCACGGGCGGTCGCACGGGGCCCCGCGCACGAGCCGCCGCTGGGCGACCACGCCAAGGAGGAGATCCCTGACTACAGCTCCAAAGAGCAGGAGGAGGAACAGGCTCAGGGGCTGGCAGAGGCTGCAGGCGCAGTCCACTCAGTCTCACCCACCCCAGACCCTGGAGCCCATCGGCAGGTCCACGTCGGCGCGGGCCCCCGAGAGGTTCGGCGCAACAGCTCTGAACGCGGCGCCAGCACGCAGCGCCAGGCCCGCCATGCCGACGGGACTACGGCGCAGGACACGCCAGCGGTGGCCGACGCTGACGCCCGCGCCCCGCGCGCACACCCCGCCGGACTGTGACCGCCGGGGCCGGGCGTGCCGCGCCCGACCCCCGTCCTCCGTTCGAGTGCGGTCGCGGGCGCTGCAGGGGGGGTGAGCCGGGTCTCTGGGGCCAGTGCGAGAGCGCGGCAGGACGGCGCCCGTCCAGGGGCGCCAGCGACAGGGGGCGAGCTAGAGAGCGCGACCGCGACCGAGACCGCGATCGCGACGGGGGCGGAGGCTGGGGCTCCTCGCACCGATGCGACGATCGCCGCCACCCTGAACAAAACAGAGATGAGCGCCGTCGCCCTGGCCACAGCCGCCCCTGGGAAGAGCGCCGCGTCAGCTGGCCGAGGCGCCCGGGCGAGACGGCGACCGCCCACCTAAAAAGGCTGAAGGCCGAGGGGGGCTTCTGCTTCGCCGCAGCCCGGCGCTCCTGGTGCAGGCGCGCGGGGCACGACAAGTGCAAAAGCAGGGGCGCAGTCAAGTTCGACCCGTCCTGCTGGAAGCCCGACATGATCGACCGCTTCCTGGGCGAAATGGCACGCAGCCGGTACGATGTGGGTGCCTGGCCCCGGAGCGCGGGCGTCTGCATCGACTGGGGCCGCGAGAACGCCGTGTATCAGGAGATCCAGCGGAAGCGGGGGGCGGCCATGGGCGAGGGGTGCGGGGGCGGCCCGTCGCGCGGCTCCGGGCCCGCGGACAACTGGGCCAGAATGCAGCGCCCCAGGCGCTGACTTGCCCCGAACGCTCCTAACTGATCTCGCCGCCTAGGGTGCCCGCCCTGACCGCCCCTCCTGTCCCTGGCAAGGCCTCTTGGCGCTCTTCTTCGGGTGCGACCTGTTCGTCGCCCTTTACAGCGCCTGGCCCTGTCTCCCCCTCCCCCTTTCCTCCTTCGCACCTGATAATGGGGCGGTTAGTCCTTCGTGATCCCGCAGTATCCACCTGCTACATCGACTGGGGCCGCGAAGACGCCCTGTATCAGGAGATCCGGCGAAACCAGGGGGTGGCCAAAGACGGGGGGCGCGGGGGCGGCCCATCACGCAGCTCCGGGTCCAAGGACAGCTGGAACGGAATGCAGCGCCCCAAGCGCTGACATGTCTCGAACGTTCTTCATTGATCTCGCGGCCTCGGGCGCCCTGCCCTGACCGCCCCTCCTGTCCCTGGCAAGGCCTCCTGGCGCTCTTCTTCGGGTGCGACCTGTTCGTCGCCTCCTGCAACGCCTGGCCCTGTCTCCCCCCCCCCCCCTCTTTTATGCCTGACAATGGGACGGCTAGTCCCCCCTGATTCCGCGGGTTCCACCTGCCTCCGCTGATTCCGCAGGTTCCACCTGCCTCCGGTGACTGGCGGGGCCGCCCGGTTGCCGGCGCGGGGTTGCCCCGCGGCGCTGGCTGTCCCGCCTGGCTGGCCTTTCTCCTCCCTGGCCGCTTTCCCTTCTCCCCGCCCGCTACCCCCCCTCCCGCATGGCGGCCGCGCCCGGTGCAGCGCGGCTTCGGCCCGGTGCCCGGCGCTCGCGCGCGATGGCCCCGTTTCACCTTGCCGCCTCGGCGGCCCCGCGGTCCTGGGCGCAGCGCGGCCCGGGCCCGGCCCTGGGCTCCGCGAACAACGGCAGCCATGGCGCATCGCGGCTTCGGCCCGGTCCTTTGCGCTCGCCCCTGCAGGACAGGACTCGTTCCACCTCCTGCTCCAGTGCGCCGGCGCCCTGTCGGTCGTCGCACGCGGCGCGTTCCTGGCGTGTCCTGGCTGCCGCGCCTCAAGTCACTGCGGCTCCAGTACCCTAGACCCGTGGCGCCCTGGACGACCACGGCCTGGGCCACTCGCTCCTGCTACCTGTTCGATGGCACAACGTTGCACTTCGGCTCAGCGATGCTCTCCACCCTCCCTGGTCTCTGGCGCTGCTTGGGTGCAAGGCGCGTCACCTCTCGCCGCCAACTCGAGGCTGGTGTATATGATGAGCCGTGGACGGCAACACCAACCACAGCATTTTGCTTCTGCCGGTACTTCGCCACCGGGTTCCTGGACAAGGCGCACCTGTGCAAGCGCGTCGATTTCGGCACCGCCTGATTCCGAGGCTTGCCTCCTCCCGGCCTCGCCCTGAGGCTGCGCTCTCCCCCCCTCCTCCCCCTCTTTGTTAATTCAAGCTTCGCGCGGCCCGCTTAGCTTCGACCGGAAGAGGTGCGCTCTCGACCCGCGAATCCATTTTTTTTGACGCTTCGCGTATCCCCACCAGCTGCCTGCGCCCTCGCTAGCGGACGCGACCGAAAGTATCCCCACCAGCTCATCCATAATTGATTGCCAGCTTTCTTGTGGCCTTTTTGGAGGCTATCTTGAGCCATGCTCGGCTAGAGGCTGTCGGAGGCTATCTTGAGCCATGCTCGGTTATCTTGGGCCATCTTGAGGCTGTTTTGAGGCCTTCTTGTGGCCCTCTTGAGGATCTTTTGGGGGAGTCTTGGAGCCCTCTTGGGGCTCCTTGGGGGTCTGGGAGGCCTGTTGGGGCCGTCTTGGGCACCACTGCTCAAAAAGAGGTGGAGGAGAAATTCCCCCCCCCCCCCCTCCCCCCCCTCCCCCCCCTCCCCTCGGAGGCTCTCGAACGGCATCTTGGGGCCCTCTTGGAGCTTGGGCGCCTCTTGGGCGATCTTGGGGCCGTCTTCGACCTTCTCGGGCCCCTCTTGGGCCTCTTTTGGGCCATCTTCGGGCCATCGTGAGGCTGCCAAAGCCCATCGGAAGCGAAAGTGCGATAATGCCAAAAACATTCCCCAGGTTTTTGAACGGTTTTGGCATCTTGGAGGGCGCCGTGGAGGGCTCGATGGGCACTTGGATCCGTCTTTGGGTTGTCTTGGGGCTTCCTGGGGGGAAGCTATCTTGACCCATCTTGAAGTAGCATGGGCCATCTTGGAGGCCATCTTGCGACTTCGAAGCCCTCTTGGAGCAATCTTGGGCCATCTTCTTGGACGCTCTAGCGCCTCGGTACCCCCCCCTTCCTGGCCCAGGGGAGGGGGTATGGGGGAAGGGTTTCAGTGGAAGAGAAAAGAAAAAACGCGTTATACCACCTAAACCCAGAGGGCTGGTGGGATTTGTCTTTCTGTCGTTGTCTCAACGTGTTTTTTTTTGTTTTTTTGTTGTTGGGGGGGGGCGTTGTGTTTTGTTGTTTTGTCCTCTCTCTCTATCTCTCCTTCTTTCTCCTTCTTTCTGACTGTTTGCGTTTCTGTCTGTCTGTCTTGTCTTGTCTGGTCTGGTCTTGTCTGGTCTGGTCTGGTCTGGTCCGGTCTGGTCTTGCCTGGCTGGTTGCCTGCCTGCCTGCCTGCCTGCTTGGCCGTCTGTCTGTCTTTCTGTCTGCCTGTCTGCCTGCCTGCCTGTCTGTCTGTCTTTCTGTCTGCCTGTCTGCCTGCCTGCCTGTCTGCCTGCCTGCCTGTATGTCTGTCTGCCTGCCTGCCTGTCTGCCTGCCTGCCTGTATGTCTGTCTGTCTGTCTGTCTGTCTGTCTGTCTGCCTGCCTGTCTGTCTGTCTGTCTGTCTGTCTGTCTCTCCCTTACCCTTTTCATGTCTCTCCCTCGCTTCCTCTCTCTTTCTCTCATTTTCTTCACCTCACTCTCTCCCTATCTCTCTCTTTCCATTTACTTCTCTATACGCATGCGTCCGTCAGCCAGGTCTTCCGGCAGCCACCGCACCTGCTGCAGCAGCCGCGCCGGCCGGCGAGTCTTCACAGGCACTCCTTCTCGGCGTGGGCGCCCCCTGCTTTCCCAGCCTGCACGGCTGCGCGTCCACGCCAGGGGCTCGCTCCGAGCATGCCCTCTCGAGTGCCTCCCCTCCCCGCGTTCCCCCCTTTTTCCCTTCTCCCCCTTTCCCTCCTCCTCCCTCCCCCTTTCCCTTCGCCTCTCCCGTTCCCCGTGCGCACCGTCTCCCCCTCCTTCTCCTCCTTCTCCCTCTCCTCGTCTTTCTCCTTCTCCTTCTCCCCCTCCTCCTCCTCCTCCTCCTCCTCCTCC